ACCACGGGATAATCTTTGAGGATAAATGCCTGCAAGATTCGAGATATGTTTACTTATCAATTCTTCTTTCGTTTCATTTTAGTTTCATTCATATTCTAAGTAAGGGTGTCAGTGCTCACCTGTCCAATGTACACTAATGATATCAAGAAAGCTTCGGCCGCAAGGAGAAACCCGCCAAGGATCCAATTCGATTGTCGTGAGAGAAGAAAAAGAAGGTGGCGAGGTTGGACAGAAGAAGGAGACGAAAGTGAACGGAGAATCGGTGGACCCTTGTAGAGAGTGACTACGAATGCACCAAGAATTGATGCGATGGTTCCCACAAGCTTAGCTTGGCTGCTTGAGCTTTTCCAATTCACTTTCTCCATCCTAATTTTCAATTCAATTATTGAAAAATAATTTAAGTGCACTTCTGTCTCGTCTTCGCTATGAATGTGCAGCCTCCACTGGACGAAGCCCTGGAGTTACTTGATTTTGTCCCATTCCAGGGACTTATTCATTTGCAAAGCATCTCTCATTTTAGGAATTTTAGGGGTCCAGCATCAGCAGAGATAAAGTAATAGAACTATTAATAATCTCCGAGATTGAAAGGACACATGCACAGAAAAGAGAAAGTTAATCTCTACTGGCCTGGTTGAAACAGGAACTTTGGATTTTTTATAAAAAGCACTCACAACTTTGAGCTGAACCCATGTAAAATCATTCCTCCATCATCGAACACGCCATCTTTTGCTTCTCTCAATTTTTCAAATGAAAGTTCTTTAAGTGCACTCCAGATGACGAGAAAGAAGAAAGAAAGAACCTGGAAATAATGGCGAGAATGAAAGTGAAAGCTGGGATGAGGTTCATCATGGCCATGGCCAGAACAGGGGAGCTGTAATCGATGCCGATGTACCCACACATCTGTGCTGCGAATCTGCAACATCCATATTACTCAAAAATGCACTTTGATTTTCGTAAGAAACTCTCAGCAGTCGATTGAGAACTTTTGCTTCAAAAGAATTCCAAGAGAAGCGAATCCCAAGTCTGCAAATTCATGTGAAATGAAGAAACTTCACTCACTCACTCACCCAACCAGAGCGAGCAAGAAGATCTTGCGAAGGACAGAGAAAGTGAGGGGAGTACACGACCCTGACCTGCCAAACAGAGCAACCAAGCAAGACCAGGACTTCAAACCGTTTCCATTTTTCTTTTCCCCCATAAACCTGACATTAATGGAGTTAGCGAGTGATAGACAGAGCACAAACCTACGAGAGATGACGAAGGGACAAGGGAGGAGAGAGAATCACAGTAGAAGACCATGGTGTACTTGTTGATCCCATCGGACAGGGCCATTTTCATTACCACCATGTTGCCCGCTTGAGCCAGAACCACCATTATCATCCCCACAAACGGCAGTGAACCCCTCTCTCTCTCTCTCTCTCTCTCTCTCTCTCTCGCTCAGTTCTTGGGTTAATATTTGGAGGACACTGAGTAGTATATTAGATATGTATAGTTGCTATTCATAATGAAGATACAAATGAAATTGATATAATAACAAATATAGTTCTGCTGCTTTTATTTTGCTTTGTTCCTCAGCTGGAGCCTTCGTTTAGGCCAAATCCAAAACAGAGTTGTTTCTAGTTCATTATTGGTCTGCATACATTTCAAAAAGATCCGCCCGATCATATCTACAAAGTATCTTGCCAGGGAACCTGAAAATTCCGGGAAAATCTACTTCTATCTCTTTCCCATTGTTGTGCCAGCACAGTTCTTTAAGAAAGAATTTTTGTGGTGCCTGAGCATCAGGCTGCGCTTCGAGGATACGTCAATTGTGCTGTACAATGTTAGATCCATAATTCACAACACTATCCGTATACACGACACGAATCGTACTTAAATAGGTTTGACTTTGGTATAGACGGTTTAATGTCATAAATGGGTCAACTAGTTCAAGATGCAACAAAAAATGTGTTTAATGCGAGTTGACTCGCTTCACCCGTTTAGACACGAATTAACATTTTTAAATTAACGAGTTAATGTGTTACCTTTTTAAACGATATCATTAGACACGTTTTGATGTGTTTAATACTTGAGTAATTACCATTTTGTTCTACTAGCACATCAAGTAACACCAACTTAATTTGACTATTGATAATGAAAATAAAAGATGTTCACGGGAAAAAAAAATATTCACTTGATAGAGTAAAATTTTCCTAGGAGTGATATATAGTTGTCGACACATAAATTTTTCGCCTAAAAAATTACATTATGATGGAGATCAAATCAGTCGATATCGTCGGAATTTGACCCTCAAGCAAAAACAGGTATTATATGTGTTAATTAAAATATATCTCGAGTTTGAGTCCGAAGCGAAAATTTAATTTAAAAAAAAAAAGAATCCTAAGTTTCAAAAATTAGCTTTTTGAACGTGAGTTGGAGTCTTGGCCCACTGCAAAAGAAAAGTCCAATTGTGTCAGAAAAATGAAGGAAACACTACTTCAAGACTTCAAGCAGGGGCCAAAGAAAAGTCAAAAGAGAAAAGTGCAAACTTTGACTGGCTGACCGAATAACATTTCCTAATCCATATTGACGTGGCCTTCTGAACGTGTTTTTCGTTTGGCTATAAATATATTCAGTAGGCACTTTGGGCGGTGGTTGTTGATGAATACGTGAAGTTATTCTTGAAGCGTCGCTTGTGTGCGAGTGCTTGGCGGTTGGCAATCTTCGTGGTTTTGTTCGTAGAATTACACCAAGAGTTTAAGTATTTGTAGTGATTAAATCTTGCGGTAAAATTTGTGTATAATTTTTTCGTGAGATTGAGAGATTATTTCGTGAGGAATTATGAGGCTAAATACTGCGTGAGTTATTGGACGTAATTGGGGTTTGGAAAATACTTAGAGTATTTGAGTGACTCGAGTATGGTTCTATTGTATCGCTTGATCTATAGTGGAATTCTGTACTGCTCTCCCCGTGGACATAGGTCACTACGACCGAACTACGTAAATCCGGTGTTCGATTTATTTTCTTATTCTATCTATTTTATTGATCGCTTGGCTTCCGCAACAATATACTTCCACATTTTTGTTCTCTACTGCATTTTTTCACACTTAGAAATTAGAAACATTTTCATCTAAGAACAACATTCTTATATCTAACATATTTAGGTAAGATGATGAGTTTTTCTAAACCTACCTAATATGTGATCCGACTTCGAATCTTTTATGCCTAACTTTTATCTCGATCCTCAAAAGGTTTGGTATGGGCATCTATAAGACGACCCAAATAAGCCTCACTCATGGGTATTCAAGCAATTCTTCCTAGGAGTGAGCGGTTTTAGGTTCCGTACAGGTTCCACCTGAAATCTAGAACCTACCCGCCATGTATATCTTGGAACCTGGAACCTACCCTGTCACAGGTTTCAAGGTCGGTTCCAAGGTCTATCCAGGTCCACTTGTATTATGAATTGAACGATTACAATGAAGTATCATCTTTAATGATCACCATTTGCTATTGCAATCCACTCATCACAACTTATATTTAAACACACGAAGAATATGAATCATTAACAAAGTAAAAGTCTTGATCATAAATGAAAACTTAGAGTAGTGGTTCCAGATTATACACTCGTTATCGAACGCCATGGAATACCATAGGATCTCACGAAAATATAGACCAAGAAAAACACAAAAACGTGTTTCAGGTTCCAGATATCAATTTCCACCTACGTAGAACCTAGAACTTACTCGTCGAAACAAGTTCTCCAATTTTTGGAACCTGGAACCTACTCAGCATACATTGGAACCTGGAACCAATACGTTCTCACTAGTCCGGTTCTCGCGGTTCAGGTTCTATTATGGCACCATGCTCACCCCTAATTCTTCCTCTTACTTATGTTAACTGAGAGAGAGAGAGAGAGAGAGAGAGAGAGAGAGAGAGAGAGAGAGAGGTTAACAAAAGATGGGCCCACCAAGAGAGGTTAGAAAAACAATGAATTAAATTGGTAAACTTCTTATTATTGTTTTATTATTCAAACTAAAAAAAAAATACACGTAAATTTACATATCAATATTTGTATATTGTGAAAGTTTCAAGTTTTTTGGGCTAACAAAAAGTCAAAATGTGCCTGGCAAGATTTAAATTAAGCAGAGAAATAATTATCAGTCTATCTAGACATGCCCATATTTTTGCCAATCTCAATTTTTTATTGCCAAAAGTAGAGAGAGTTAGAAAAGAAAGTATGTTGACCATCCATCGACCACATGATAGAGAGAGTATCATAAGAACAGATGCTCAGGCAAATGGATTAGGTAAGCGATAGATGAATGCCAATTAAGTGGGTTAACTAGCTTCTTCTATTTTTTATTTCAAAGGACATATAAAAAGGGAGATATATATCTAATACATTGGATCTAGATGTACATGAAAGAGAATGTACTCTTTAACTTTAAATTCTACTCCTAACTAATTTATTTTTTATTTCCATAAATAATGTAATTACATTTTTTTTCTTTTTATTCGATCATTTACGTCACATATACTTTAGTGCATACCTTATAATTCTCAACATGACGAAACAAATCACAATACATCATGACAATACAACTTGATCTTTATATAAAGTTAGCATGTTTATATCTATATCAATTTAATTCACGTAAAAGATTACATATTTTATATAACTTAAAGTTTAACTCTTTGTAATGGTGCGGTAGTATCCAACACAAGATTAGATAGTTTATCAACATATAATTTGTGAAGTTGGGTTGATTGTGAATACCATGTTATCAACACAATCGCTCAAATCTTTTGAATATAGGTTTTCCAAAGTGGGCGTACACATTAATTTGTGTGCACCAGAATGCATATGGCAGTCCAAATTTGTCCCTATATTAGCATTTCTAGATCTAATTCACGTTGGAATATGCATCTCGAATTCATTTTAAAAGACAAGAGGGTACGCCTTATGAATTTGTACAAATTTTTTATTTTTCCTCTCTTTTTTTTAATGTTTCCAAGAACATCTACACGCTCGAAACTTTGTCTTGGAGCAAAGGAGTCTTGTCGCCGGCGGACGCCAGGCTTCCCCCAACCCGGCTGCTCTCGAACGTCTTATCTTCCTCTTTGGACTTGCCCCACACTGCCGCGTAGAATCCCATCACAATCACAATCGCTCCAATTAAGCTGCACAAAACCCGAAAAGGAAAGACAAAAAGGCAAGTTAATTAAAAGTATTTCTTTTTCAATCGAGACAAGATATTCTTTTAAAATTACCACAGAGTCGGTGGAACTCAAAGCCGCAGCCCCGAAACCAACCGTTCAGTATGACATACAAGGCTCACTTAAAGAAACACGTGATCTTTTCATTTGAGGCACTCTACTTCTTATACATATTTATGGGTGCCAAGCACACTCTCACACACTCACAAGAGCCAAGTTTACTCAAGCCACGCTTGCTCTAATGAGAACTCTTGCCTATTCATACCATTAAGCAGGTAGTTCTACCTCCTTCCCTAGATATTTCTAGCTAGAGAAATATATCATTGGATATTTCTACACTTTTTCTTGAAATATCTTTCAACAAAATATCTAAATATTTAGATAGTCTAGAAAAATCTAGAATTCTTAAGAGAAGAGAGGAGATGCAATTCTTCAACACTTCCCCTCACCAACTATTTTTTCTCTCAATGCGGATCTAGCCATCATGCCAAATTGCTTCTTGGAACTTCTTAGCTGTCTCATCGACTTCTTCCTTTAACCTTCGTTATTCCTTCTTGACTTCGCCTGTTTCTTGTGCTCGCTGCAACTATTTGAGATAAAGCCCTGATTTAACACTGTCTACTTGAACTTCAATTACCTTTGTGGCTGTGACTTTTGACTAAGCTTTGCGAAGCTCGGACTTCAGCAACGCCAAGTTCGACTTGCGGCTCAATCTCTTTTGCTTTCATCCCACTTAACCCGGCCTTCCTATTTTGCAATTCTTTTATAAGAGTTTTAAGATCGCAGCTCATGTGGCCAAGCCTTTCATTGGCGGTTTCATTTGGTGCTTCAACTGATTCACTTCCATCTGAAGCACTTTGATGTAGACAACTTCATCCTTACACCATGGGATGTAAGGTGAAGATGGCCTCATTTTCTCAAAGCATCCTTTCTTTTTCTCTTCTTGTCTTTCCCAATTTGACCAATTGAGAATGTCACGGTAGACTTGAATTCCTTAAGCTACTGCAACTTCTTAAGCTCACACCGAAGCTTCTCATGCTTTCGTTCTTTGGCCTTGAGCTCCTTCTCCTTCTGCCTCAGCATTTTGTTCTTCTGTCCAACATCTTCTCCATCTTCACTTTAATCTTCTACTTCTCCTACAGCCCTTTCTCAAGGTTGCTCATTGGCGCCGCCACTTGCTTCTCTGAGTTTGTCCTCGGCTTGCTCTTCCCCGAGGACGTGACAAAGGCTGTCGCATCATATGACTTGATGATAGATCAGGCTGCAAGCTCTTCTTTTTCCTCTATTATAGTGGCCACTTGAAAATCACACTCTTCTTCACTATCATTCTCCTTCATGGTAGAGGACAGACTCTAACAAAGTGTCCTACTTTGCCGCACATGCAGCACTATCTGCTACGCCTATTATCGCTTTTATCTTCATTGTCATCCTCGTCAAAATCCTGATGAGCTCCCCCTAACTGAGCGCTCCTCCCTTCTAGTCGCCTCAGCCAGTCTCCATGACCTTTCCTCTATTTCCCATCTCCGATGCCTCCTTTGGCTCTTGAAGGCCCTTTTATTATTGAAGAAGGCAATTTCATCAACTTTCACTGAGACCTTAGACATTTGTCTATCTAAAGCCTCATGGTTGGCCAATATATTCTCCAAAACGGTCAGAGTTGGGTCTTTAGCCCATCCAAGAGTGGCCATAACAATACTATTATACTTTGGTCGTAACCCGTGAATGATTGTTACTACCATCCTAGTCTCAGAGATGGCATTTTGAGGATCCAACTTTAAAATTTCTTCACAAATAGATTTAACTTAGGAAAGATATTGACTCACCGTCCTATCTCGTTAGGACACCGACAATAACTGTTGTAGCTTGGCATCTTTCGTCCTAGCAAATGTGCTGTCAAAGCATCCCATGCCTCCTTGCGGGTCCTCGTGCTCTTGATATGTTGTAACAAATCATTTTCTATCGTAATAGAAAGAACGTAGAGAGGCTTACTAGCCTTTATCTTTCACTACCTCCCGCTCTCCATCATCCGTGAGTGGTGTGGTATCGTCACCACCAAAAATTACGCCCACAAATCTTAACCCAGCAGGTAAAAATGCATGCAGGCATTCCAATTATTATAATTGGAATTGTTGAGTTTCTTGATGCCACTTGCCGAACTTGATAAATCTATCATCGTGACTTGGTTATAATGCGCGGCACTATACCAAGAAAGCTTGGTCCTAGACCAACCAATCACAATCCCTAATTGTGCATTGATATAATTTCGGGGTACTCCGATCCCCGACTGCCTACTCACGTACCATGGTCCCTGACCCCTATTATCGCGTACCACAACTTTCGATTGCTGGGTTCACAGTCTCCGACCACCTACTCTGGTACCGCTTGTCGAACTCAGAGGTGCAGCTTTGATACCAATTGTTGAACTTCGACATGCAACTCTGCTACCTATTGTTAAGTAAGACGCACAAATCTCACTTAAAGAAACACACGTTTTTTTTCCACAGAGGCACTCTCTTACAATATCGATTGAGAGAACTTCTTACACATACTTATGGATGCGAAGCGCACACTGACGCCACACTTGCTCTAATGAGAGCTCTTGCCTATTTAGGCTTAAGGTGGTGGTTCTACCTTCTAGAATATATAGATATTTCTAAATAAATATCTTCCCAGTATATTTCTAGCTAGAGGAATATCTTAGATACTTCTAGAGAAATAGCTCCCTAGATATTTCTATCTCTCTCTAGATATTTATAGAGAAATATATTCTTAGATATCTACACCCTTCTTAAAATATTTAGATATTTAGGTAACCTAGAAATATTTAGAATTTTGAGAGAAGAGAGGAGGTGCGATTCTTCAACATAATCCTAACGACCTAAACTCTGGTTACCGAGGGACCTCGACAAATCTTTAGACTTGAGCATAACCGTTTTTCTTTTATGAAAAGTTAAACTGAAGAGCAAGCCCATTTATATCTTGTATCTCAAGAATATATATTGCTGTGCTTGAGATTTGCTCATGAAGGAGTTTTTTCTCTGATGGACAATTGGACACATCGTTCTCAGTTTCTTTTAATCAACTAGATTCTTGATAATAGAGTAAGATGTGGCATGGGCATTTCAATAGAGAAGAAGAGAGAGTACTTGTACCTTCCAAGGTGTAACATCTCCCCTAAAAATATGAACCCCAATCCGACAGCAAAAACAATTCCCAAGGGCTTGAACATGGAGATATAAACAGGTCCAATTTTCTTCAGGCACCATATACACAATGTGGCTCTCAAGACGCCAGCAACCAGAGCCTGCATATACAATATTAATTTGACTTTTATGTTCAACCCTCAAATTCGGACCAAAATCTAGACTTTAGGAGTCGTTATGTTACAGGCTTACCGAGTACAGAATAGCGATCAGACCTATATCAACCTTCAGAATCCATGATTGTGATTCTCTCACCGCAATGAAGGACAATAGCCCAGAAAGAATAGTCGAAAAGAACACTGAATAGAACATTAAGTTTAGCACCACGGGATAATCTTTAAGGACAAATGCCTGCAAGATTCGAGATATGTTTACTGGTCAAGTCTTCTTTCGCTTCGTTTTAGCGTCATATTCTAAGTAAGGACATTGGTGCTAACCTGTCCAATGTACCATAATGATATCAAGAAAGCTTCGGCTACGAGGAGAAACCCGCCAAGGATCCAATTTGATTGTTGCGAGAGAAGAAAAAGAAGGTGACGAGGTTGGACAGAAGAAGGAAGCGAAGGCGAACGGAGAATCGGTGGACCCTTGTAGAGAGTGACTACGAATGCACCAAGAATTGATGCGATGGTTCCCACGAGCTTAGCTTGGCTGCTTGTGCTTTTCCAATTCACTTTCTCCATCCTAATTTTCAATTCAATTAGTAAAGAATAAACTAAGCTCATCTTGTAATCATTGTCATCGACATATTGTGCACTTCTGTCTCGTCTTTCCTATGAATTTGCAGCCTCCACTTTGCTCAAGCCCGGGACTTTCTTGATTTTGTCCCATTTCAGGGACTTATTCAATTGCAGAGCAACTCTCGTTTTAGGAATTATAGGGATCCAGCATCAGCAGAGATAAAGTAATAGAACTATTAATAATCTCCGAGATTGAAAGGAAACATGCACAGAATATGAGAAGTGAATTAAGTGGAAGCAAAGTGTATCTCTCCGGGCCCGGTTGAAACAGGCCTTGAGCTGAACCCATGTACAATCAACCCACCATCATCCAATTAACACACCATCATCTGCTTCTCCCGTTTTTTAAAAGAAGGTTCTTTAAAGTGCACTGCAGATAACGAGAAAGAAGGGACAAAGAACCTTAAAATAATGGCGAGAATGAAAGTGAAAGCTGGGATGAGGTTCATCATGGCCATGCCCAGAAGAGGGGAGCTGTAATCCATGCCGACATACTCGCACATCTGGGATGCGAATCTGCATCATCCAACTTACTCAAAAATTCACTTTGTTTCTCGTACGAAATCTCAGCAGTTAGTTAAGACCTTTTGCTTCGAAAGATTTCCAAGAAACGCAAATCGCAAGTCTGCAAATTCATGTCAAATGAAGAAACTTCGCTCACTCACCCAATTAGAGAGAGCAAGAAGATCTTGCGTAGGACAGAGAAAGTGAGAGGAGTACACGACCCTGACCTGCCAAACAGAGCAAACAAACAAGACAAGGACTTCAAAATTTTCTTTTCTTAAACCTGACATCAATGGGAGTTAGAGAGTGTTCGACAGAGCACGAACCTGCGAGAGATAATGAAGGGACTAGGAAGGAGGACGAGAGAGGAGAGGGCATTACAGTAGAAGGCCAAGGTGTACTTGTTCGTCCCATCGGACATGGCCATTTTCGTCACCACCATGTTGCTCGCTTGAGCCAGAACCACCATGATCATCCCCACAAACGGCAGTGAACCCTTCGCTCTCCCGTCCATCTCCCTCTCTCTCTCTCTCTCTCTCTCTCCTCAGTTCGTGGGTGAATAGTTGGAGGAAGCTGAGGTTTTAAGTTTTGCGGGACCGCCATGTATTTGATGCTTCTGTTTGACTTTAAAATATGATGGAATACAAATATTTCCACCCTCTTTGGGTGTCATTTGCTTGCTTGAGAACCTGGAGTAGGTCGATTTTGTCAACAATGAAAACGACGGTGGGGAGGTTGGTTGGTGAGACTTTTATGAGTTTATAATATATCAGACATGTATGATTGCAATTACAAAAATGATAAAGAGGATGATGATAATAAATAATGATAGTTCTGCTGCTTTTCTTTTCTCAGCAGGCGCCTTTGTTGAGGTTAATACAAAATTGGGTGGTTTCAAGTTCATCAGTGGTCAGCACGAGCAGAGATCAGTTCACGTTTCAAAAATGATCTGCCCAGTCATCTACAAAACATGACCTGAAGATTACGGAGAGTGTTAGAATATTTAAATAATAAATTAAATTTTAATATACAAATTTAAATTTTTAGAATAATTGATAGTGATTCCATAAAATCCCACATGGTATATGGTATCAGAGCAGGAGATCCTAAATTCAAATCTTCTAATCCTCTATTTGCCTCCCCAATTGTATATTTCCATGCCTTAGGCTTAAGCCAAAGTCCAACAGGAGTGTTAGAATATTTAAAACAGTTAACTGTGATAGAACAAAATCTCACGGGGAGAATCTACTTCCCTTGCCCATTGTTTTGCCAGCACCGGTTTATGAAGAATTTTTTGCATGTGCATGGGGTGGCGCTCTAGGGTACACCCATTTTTGCTGATTAACATTAGACCTGTAAATTCTCGCCACAATCCGTTTGCACGACACGATACTTAGTTAAACAAGTTTGGATTTGATATAAACCGATTCATGTTACAAATGGGTCAACTCGTTTAAAACACAACAAGGAATGTGTCTTTACACACTTAACTTGTTTAGACACAAATCGACATTTTTTTTAAATGTGTCATCTTTTTAAGAGGACACGTCTTTTTAACAGGGCACAATTAGACATGTTTTAATACGTAAGCTCTAATAGTACATCACTAATTGACCAATCGGTAAAAAGAACAAAAGATATGTAGGAAAATAAACTTTCAGTTAGAATAAAATATAAATTGATCGAGTAAGATTTTCCTAAGAGTGATAAATGAGAATCTGTCGATTAAACCTTTCTAATTCTTGCCAATTTTAGTGGGCACCTAAATTTGTTGCCCGAAAGGTCATATTCGGATGGCGATCAAATCTGTCAAAATTGTCGGAATTTGAGCCTCGAGCAGAAAACGGGCATTAAATATTTTTGTAGTTTTGTTCTCTGCTGCATCTTCTCCAAATTATAAATTGTGGACATTTTTGTCCAAGAACGGCATTCCCACCTCAAACTTCGATTTAGGCAACACGATGAGTTTGTGATCCGAAGCAAGAGTTTTTCCTAAAGAGGTCTGGTTTTTCATCTAAATACCAATGCCCAAATCTGCGGCTCGGGGCCGAGTGCCGGTCTCCCTTTCCGTCACAATCGGAAATGAATCTCGGCTGCAATTCGAAATAAGAGATTGTAGGGGAGAGAGAAAGAGAGCTGAGATTTTAGAAAGGGAGAGCGCTTGGTGAAAGGACACTGAGAGTAGAGGAACATGAAGAGCACTCGTAACGTAAAGAGAAATGCTTAAATGATTTTTTTTTTAATTCACTGTGAGATCGATAGTCTATTTTGGACAATAGAAAATAAATAACTAGAAATTGCTGCGAAGTATATTTCTTTAAGAATTTATAGCTCTCAACATAGTGTTACTCTCACAGTGGTTCAAAGACTGTTATGCTAGCAAAGCTCGTTCGTAAATACGTGGAGAGCGAAATAGGAAAATCTTTTTAAGGCTCCATTCTTCTCCCACAAATTCAAATTCCACCGAGCTTTATCCTCTCGTCGCAAGCTCCGACCCAGTGTCGCCACTCCCTGCATTGCCGCCGTGCTTTGACAATCCCTGTGCGTCTTCAAGTTATCACGCCGCCACCAACTCACCTCCTACTCGCCGCCACGCGTACCGGGTTGTTTCTTCTCCGATCAAACTCTAGGATTGATTTCAACTCATTATAGCTTTGTCTCTTGAATTCTGCTCTGTTTCGTTTTCTTTAGACTCTGCCGCCTTTCACTGGACTGCCTTGTCAAGCCATCGCTGAGCCGCTCAACCAAAGTGCTGGGTCGTTGCTGAACTTTCATGAGCACCCATGTTGGCGTCGCCGACCATAATCCGCTGCGGCTGTTGACTCTCTTCTTCCGCTCCAAGTAGTATAAATCCGTGATCGGACAGAGTAGGCGACAACGACAGCTGAGAGGCGGGGCAAAGAGAGAGAAAGGAGGAGAAGGAGAGAAAAGGGGCGAAGAGAGTGATGAGGATAATCTGGGAAAGAAAATGGCAACTTGACCCAAAAAGTGTTCAAGATCACAGAGTGTGGAGATGCAAGTTGAAATCTAGTAACAAAAGTCGAAGCGCAGAATACAGGTTTTCCAAAGCGTGCGTAGACATCAATGTGAGTGCACCAAAACGAAGATGGCAGTCGAAACCTTCTCCAATTTCTTCATTTTTTCTATTGGTATTTCCACATCTCTTTCACGTTGGAATGTTCAAGTCGAATTCATTTCAAAAGACAAAAGGGAATGTCTCTACGAATACCTACGAATGAATATCTACACACTGGAAGCTTTATCTTGGAGCAAAGGAATCTTGTCGCTCGAGGATGCCAAGCTCTCTCCAACCCCGCTGCCCTCGATCGCCTTCTCTTCCTCTTTGGACTTCCCCCACACGACCGCGTAGAATCCCATCACAATCACGGTTGCTCCGATTAAGCTGCCAAAACCAATAAGAGAAAAACGAAAAGGCGTGTCCACGTCAAGCTACCCTGTTCTGTCCATGTATGTATGCTTTGTAATGACCGACACTCTGATTTCTTAACTTCGAAACTTTGGCAGATCTCTAGAGTTGAACAAAAAGTTAAAACTGAGTAAGGCAATTTGTATTTTATATCTCGAGAACATCCGTTGCTTTGCTTGAGATGAACTCATGAAGGAGCTTGACACGTCTTCCTCAATTTCTTCTAGTCGATTAAATTCTTGATTATAGAAAAATGCGTAGGCATTTCAATAGAGAAGAAGAGAGAGAGTGCTTGTACCTTCCAATGTGTAACTTTTCGCCAAGAAATATGAACCCCAATACAACAGCAAATACAGTTCCCAAGGGCTGGAACATGGAGACAAAAACAGGTCCAGTTCTCTTCAGACACCATATACCCAATGTGAGTCTGAAGACACCAGCAACCAAAGCCTGCATATACAATATCAATCAGGCTTTTAACTTCAAGCTTGAAGTCGGATCAAAATCTAACTTTAGGAATCGTAATATTACACGCTTACCGAGTACAAAATAGCGATCAAACCGACATCGACTTTAAGGATCCATGACTGTGGTTCTCTCACTATAACGAAGGACAATAACCCGGAAAAAATTGTCTGGAAGAACATTACATAGAACATTATGTTCATCACCACGGGGTAATTTTTTAGGATAAATGCCTGCAACATTGGAGATTTTTTCACTTGTCAAGTCTTCTTTCGCTTCGTTTTGGTGTCATTCATATATTAAGAAAAAGCAAGGACATTAGTGCTAGCCTGTACGATGATTGCTGATGACATCAAGAAAGCTTCGGCAGCGAGGAGAAAGCCGCCAAGAATCCAATTCGATTGTCGCGAGAGAACAAAAAGAAGGCGATGAGGTTGGACAGAAGCAGGAGGCAAAGGTGAGCGGTGAAGCGGCGGACCCTTGTAGAGAGTGACTAAGAACGCACCAAGAATTGATGCAATGGTTCCCACAAGCTTAGCTTGGCTGCTTGAGCTTTTCCAATTCACTTTCTCCATCCTAAAATTTTAATTCAATCAACAAACTAAAGAAGGAAATAAGATAAAACTTATTTTATTGTCATCGACATATGGTGCACTGCTGTCTTTTGTGTTTCCTAGAAATGTGCAGTCGACACTTGCTGAAGCACCGGAAATCAGCTGAACCGATGTAAAATCAACCCCCCCAAATCATCAATGAACACATCATCATCTGCTTCTCTAATTTTTTTTTTTTCAAATGAAAGTTCTGAAATTGCACTGAAGATAACGAGAAAGAAGAGACAGAGAACCTTGAAAAAATGGCCAGAATGAAAGTGAAAGCTGGGATGAGGTTCATCAGGGCCGTGCCCAGAACAGGGGAGCTGTAATCGATTCCGACGAATCCGCTCATCTGTGATGCGAATCTGCATCACCCAAACTACTCAAAAATTCACCTTGTTCTTTGTATCAAACTCTCAGCAGTTGATTAACACCTTTTGCTTCAAAAGAATTCAAAGAAAAGCAAACCCCAATTCTGCAAATTCATGTGAAACGAAGAAACTTCACTCACTCACCCAACCAGAGCGAGCAAGAAGATCTTGCGAAATACAGAGAAAGTGAGAGGAGGACACGACCCTGACCTGCCAAGCCGATCAAACAAACATGACAAGGTTTGTTAAAACCTTCTTTTTTTCCCCTCAAACCTGATTTTAATGGAGTTGATGCGTGATTGACAGAGCACAAACCTGCGAGAGATGATGAAGGGACAAGGGAGGAGGGCAAGAGAGGAGAGGGCATTACAGTAAAAGGCCATGGTATACTTGTTGATCCCATCGGACATGGCCATTTTCATCACCACCATGTTGCCCGCTTGAGCCAGAACCACCATGATCATCCCCACAAACGGCAGCGAACCCCACGCTCTCCCGTCCATCTCTCTCTCTCTCTCTCTCTCTCTCTCTCTCTCTCTCTCTCTCACACACACACACACACACACACAGTTCGTGGGTTAATAGTTGGAGGAAACTGAGGTGTTTTCCAACGTTTTGCGGGACCGCCATTTTTGACCTTTGTGGAGTACAAATATTCCCAACTGCTTGCGGACCTGGAGAGGTCAGTGATGTCAACTATGAAAAGAACGGGGGGACGGGGGCGAGCTTCATGACGTGGTTGTTTTTGAGGTTATGATATACTAAACATGTATAACTGCTATGACATAATGATGATGATAATGATGTAATAACATTTATAGTTCTGCTGCTTTCCTTTTCTTAGCAGGCAACTTCATTTAGGCCAATCCAAAAGTGCGTTTGTTTCTAGTTCAGTATTGGTTTGCATTTGCGAGCAGAGATCAGCTGACGTTTCAGAAAGGATCTGCCCTATCATCTGCAGATTCCGGGGAAAATCTACTTCTTCTCTTTCCCATTTTTTTGGCCAGCGCCTCCGATTATGAAATGATTTTTCCATGTGCGTTGGGTGGCGCTTCCGAGTACATCCGTTTGTTAGGGCCATCAATTCTCGATACAATCCGTTTGCACCACACTAAGATACATAATTAAACAGGTTTTGATTTGGCATGAACCGGTTCATGATATAAATGGGTCAACTCATTTAAGACACGATTTAAGCGAGTTGACCTGCTTAACTCATTTTTAAAAGGAGAAAATTAAGAGAATATTTTCATTCCTGTATATCAGTGATATTTATAGTACATGTACAAGGATAGCAACAACAAAAAATATGGAGAAAATCTCAACTAATTAACAGCTATCTACAACAATGAGAAGGTTGAAATTATGGAGAATAATTTGAAATTTGAATTTTAAACCGATTCTCTTATACGCCCCCTCAAGATGCAGTTTCCGTCGGAAACACCGATCTTGACTCGAAGTGTTTGCACGCGCTGTTTTGATAGTGGCTTGGTAAGGATGTCCGCTAGTTGGTCATGTGTGGAAATGTGAGAGACTCTCAATTGTCCGTCTTTTACTAGCTCACGAACGAAGTGGTAATCAATTGCAATGTGCTTCATGCGAGAGTGGAAGACCTGATTGGCACACACATAAGTAGCCCCAATATTGTCACAGTATATCGTGGGTGTTTCAAGTGAGTGTATGCCCAGTTCGGTGAGCAAGTTTTGAACCCAAAGTAATTCCGATGAGGTAGCGGCAACTGCTCTATATTCGGCTTCTGTTGATGATAGAGCAACGGATCGCTATTTGCGGGAGCTCCAAGAGATAGGATTGGCGCCAAGATAAACAATGAAGCCGGATGTGGAAGTCCTGTCATATGAATCACCAGCCCAATCTGCATCGCAATAAGCACGTAAAATGGGCTTTGTATCTTGCCGCAAGTGAAGCCCATGGAATAGGGTACCTTTAAGATATCGAAGAAGACGTTTGGCGGCAGACCAATGATGTAATGTTGGCTTGTGCATGAACTGAGATAATTTGTTGACAGTGAACGAAATATTGGGTCGAGTGATTAGGAGGTATTGAAGGGCACCGACGAGGCTCCGAAATTCAGTTGTGGATGTGTACCCCGAATTATCATGAAGTGTAAGTGTATTACCGGTTGCCATTGGAGACCCAACATCCTTGGCTTTGGCCATTTTATGCTTTTCGAGTAGATAAAAGACCCTTCTTGGTGGGAAGTACTTCGATTCCAAGGAAATAGCCTAAGGTCCTCAAATCTTTGACCGAAAAATGCTTGGATAATGTTGCAATGAAATCATTGAGAAACCGAGTGTTGTTGCCCATAATGACAAGATCATCAACATATACCAAGAAATATGCCTCTATGCCATTGTGTGAGTAGATAAAAAGGGAGCTATCGGCCTTGGAATTAGTAAATGAATTGGCTATTAGAAATGTACTTAACTCGTTGTACCAGGCGCGAGGAGCTTGTTTGAGCCCGTAGATAGCTTTCCTGAGTTTGCACACATGGTCGGGTTTTGCAGGGTCTTTGAAACCAGGAGGTTGTTCCATGAACACTTCATCTTGTAGCGTTCCTTGCAAAAACGCGTTGTTTACATCCATTTGGCGTAGTGGCCAATTTCGAGTGAGTGCCAGAGTGAGGATGATGCAGATTGTTGTAGGTTTGACAACCGGGCTGAAGGTTTCTTTGAAGTCAATTCCCGGTCTTTGGTGAAATCCTTTGGCGACAAGACGCGCCTTGTATCTCTCGATGCTGCCGTCGGATCGACGCTTGATCCTGTAGACCCACCTACAACCAACAATATTCATGGAAGAATTCTTTGGGGTTAGTTCCCAAGTTCCATTTCGAATTAAGGCATTGATTTCCTCGGACATAGCGGAGCGCCATTGGGGATCATTCAAAGCTTGAGTAAGTCCACTTGGTTCATAGGTTTGAGGTAGGGGATGTTTTGTGGTGAGTGTATGTATTTGTTTAGGCTTGAAAATGTTGTTTTGAGAGCGTGTGATCATGTTATGAGTGCGGGTGGGGCGATTCGGGTTTGGCAGGTTTGAGGGTGGTTCGATTAAGGGTGTGGAGTTGTTTGGTGAGACATTCGTTCCGGTGGAGATGCTGCTAGTTGGGTGGTGGTTATTACTTCGTGAGGTCTGAGGTGTGATGCTGGTGGTACATGTATCAAATAGAGGTGTATGTGTGGTGTTAGAGGAGATATCACTTACTGAGTTATCGGGTGGGTTGGCTGGCAGAACTTGCGTGTCGGCTAGGCTACTAGGAAGAGCGCTTGTCACGGCTGATGGCGTGTTCGAAGCAGGAGCAATATATGGCACAATGGGCGACTGAAGAAGAGGAGTTTTGACCGAGAATGAGGGGGAGGACTCGGGTAAGTTCAAAGAGGGGTATGGGAAGACGGTTTCATCAAAGATAACGTGACGTGAGAGGAATATTTTTTTGGTAGTAGGATCAAAACATTTGTACGCACTTTGAGTTAAAGAATAACCAAGAAAAATACATGGGCGGGAGCGTGGTAAAAGCTTGTTTTTTGTGTATGGCCGAAGCCATGGGTAGCAGAGGCATCCGAAAATTCGAAGTTTTAGGTAGTTTGGGGGTTTGCCGAAGAGGCGGTGATATGGAGATTGAAGATTAAGGATATCTGTAGGTAGGCGATTTATGAGATATGTGGCGGTTTGGAAGGTGTAGGTCCAAAAAGTGGGGGGTAGGCCGGCTTTATGTAGAAGGGTTAATCCGGTTTCGACGATGTGCCGGTGACGCCTTTCAGCGGTGCCGTTATATTGTGGGGTGTATGGAGGTGCGATTAGGTGTGAAATTCTGTGTTTTGCTAAAAATGATTTGAGTTTAATGAATTCTCCGCCCCCATCAGAATAAAGAGTATGTATTTTTTGTTGAAATTGTTTTTCGATAAGTGTTTTGAACTGTTCAAAAATAGATGCAACATCGGATTTGTTGCGGATGGGATAAAACCAAATATAACGAGTGAAATGGTCAACAAAAATAACATAATAACGGAAACCATCAATAGATAAAGTAGATGCCGGACCCCAAACGTCCGTGTACAATAAGTCAAGTGGATGTCTACCTTCTAAAGTAGAAGAATGAAATGGTAGTTTATGACTTTTATTGCAACGACAAGAAGCACATGGTAACTTATTTCCTAGACTAGACTCATTTGACGACGGAAGTGAAAAATGCTTAATGATATGACGTAAAATATCGATGGATGGATGACCTAATTTATCGTGCCACGTAGTTGCTCGCGTCCGCTCACCAACCAAAGCCGTGTGTGAGACATGTGGCTGCCAAGAGGATGGCGGCCACCGATAAATGCCGTCTCTAAGTTCTCCTCGAAGTAGCGTCGCCCCCGTGCGAAGTTCCTTCACCAAAAAATGAGAGGTAAAGAATTCAATCGAGGCTCGGTTAGTGCGACAAAATTGTGAAACCGAAATTAAATTTTTGGTTATGTGAGGAGTGCGTAAAACATTAGACAATTGAAAGGAAGTATGTGGGTAATTTAATGTGGTAGAACCAATGTGAGTGATACTCAAACCTGAGCCATCGCCAATGACTATCTCATCCGAACCTTCATACTCGCTATGCAGAGATAATTAACGAGATCATTTGTAACATGATGTGAGGCTTCCGAACCAATCAACCAACCCGCTTCTTCGGTTGAACTTGGGCCGGCTGCAACATTTGCAACCGGAGCACGGATAGCGTCTCGAATACGGAAATAATTTTTGGTGGAGTGTCCCACACGATCACAGTATTGACAAACGGGCCGAGAGCTATTGTGTAGTGGAGACCGTGAGTCACTGCTTCTGTGATCTCTCCGACGGTCTAAATTGCGGGAGCCAAAGGAATTTCTGGAGTCTCCGGCAGGTTGTCCAGAACTGCTAGAATTGTTCCATTGAGATGGGGCTCTCGAACCTCGAGTGTTTCGAGTGCTAAAATTGGCTGTTACCGGCAGGACTTCAGCTGCCGTTTCTTCATGTTGAAGGAACATTTCATGGGCGACTAATTTGTCGTAAAGTTCCTCGAAAGTGATTGTGTGTTCACGAGCACTAATTGCCGCTGCGATTTCACAGTATTCCGGTCCTAATCCCCAGAGAGCGTGGATGACAAGGTCATCGTCATGGAGAGGTGAATCAATCATTGCCAACTCATCTGCAATAGATTTTAGTTGTTGTAAAAAATTAGAAATAGAACGAGAGTTGCGTTTAACCGTTGATAATTGGTCCTTGAGATGCATGACACGGGATCGAGATTTGCTTGCGTAAAGTGTTGCAAGTTTGTTCCATGCACTTTGAGATGTTGCACAAGAGGCAATAAGGGGAATGATGGCTTCGGAAGTGGAAGCAAAAATCCCATTGAGCAAGAGTTGATCTTGTCTAATCCAATGAAAATAGGCGGCATTCTGGACTGTTTGATTGCCGCGGGTGATCTCTTCCGATGGGCAAGGACGCGTTCCGTCGATGAATCCTTTAAGGTCATATTCGACTAGCAAGGACATGAATTGAGCCCGCCAAGAAGCATAGTTGGTGGAAGTCAGCTTCATGGGAAGCTGCGCACCAGCAGAGATTGCAATAAGCCTGGTTGAAGTGGCTGCAGGAATTTCGGGAAGGATTGTTTCAGAAGCAGAGTTTGTGGCAACCATTGTTTCAAAAGTAGAGTTTGTGGCAGCCATGGCTAGGAGCAGACAAGGGATGAGAGAGGCTCCTAGGAGCAAATACGCTCTGAT